TTCTCCTGTGTGGTTCAGCGTGGCTCTGCATGCCCTGTTATCCACTGGGCCATGGGTGACTGCTAGGCCTACACAAGGAATTATATTACAACACTCCTGCACCAACCTGGAAGCCAGAACGGGGGGCAGGGCACATGGAAGGGGGATGGCACATGCACAGGAAATGTGTGTGGAGGCGTGGGGGTGCTCGCATTGCATTTTGGGGATTGGGGCACCCACACGTGCATTCACACGCACGATTGGGCCCTGGGCATCCGAAAGATTAACCGTCCCTGTTCTGCAGACTGTCCTGGATCTCCTCTGGTGCAAAGCGGGGTCCAAGGGAAGGGCAGCTTTGCAAACGGGGAGACAATGGAGAAAGAGGAGCAGGTGGCTAGAAAAAGAAGAGCATCTCTGTTGACAGAAGCATCAACTCACCAGGAGCGGAGGAAGCTGTTAGTGACAGACAGTCCTGTCCAAAGAATCTCCGCTGGGTCACGGGAAGCTTGGAAGCAGCCGAATTGGGGGGCGAGGGGGGGAACCACAACCACGGCGCGTGTCGAGTCTTGTTTGTGGATGTTGCTTTGCCAGCAATTGAACTGTCTCTTCCCCCTCAGAGCCCAACCGTTGAAGGGCTTCCTTCCTCTCGGCCGGGAGCTCCTCCGTTTGACAGCCGGACTATCAGCTGTCATGCCTCATTTTCCGCCGGTTCCTAATATCCTTTCGGCACACAAACGCTTCGGTCGGATGACCGTCCTCTTTGGAAGGACTTCGGCGGAGCCTTTCCCTGTTTAGAGCAGAATAGAGCTGGAAAGGACCTTGGAGGTCTTCTAGTCCAGCCCCCTGCTCAAGCAGGAGACCCTAAATGGCTGCCCAGCCTCTTCTTGAAAGCCTCCAGGGATGGAGCACCCTCAGCCTCTGGAGGGAAGCCCTTCCACCTAATTGTCCTAACCGTTAGGAAACTCTTCCTGAGTTCCAGGTTGCTTCTCTCCTTGTTTAGTTTCCATCCGTTGCTTCTTGTTCTACACTCAGGTGCCTCAAATATTGAAGATATTGTTGGGGGTCCCTTTCCTGCCTCGCTTTCCACAATATTAATTATTCCTCCCCAGAGGTTCTCCTTTGAGTAAGTTGAGTGAAGCGGATACACCAATCTTATATCTCCTCTTTTTAATTTTCCAAGTTCCACCTGTATGACAGGGACCAGCCTTGAGGGCTGGTTCCAAAAGCTGCATCTGGAAGCTTCCTGCTTGGCCAGGTTGTCTCAGCCCTGTTTCCTGCTTTCTGTTGTGCGTCTGGTGATGTTGTTCGAAGGAGGTGCTGCTGGCACAGAGACTCTCTTGAGGGGTCCTTGGTAGCCTCTGGGGTGGCTTGTTTTCAGGCGGACGTTTCGCTACCTCGCTAGGTAACATCCTCAGTGCTAATCCTATCACTAGCACCGCTGAGGTTACCTAATTTGGATTATGAAACCTCTGGCAGAAAACAAGGAAGCTCAGAGAGCACCAAGGACCCCTCCACGCCAGCCCTAAGCTCCAAATATTATCCTTAATTAGGTCATTCCTTCTTTGATTCTCTTTGCAAAATGATATTAGCCAATCTCCTACACGACTGCTTTGGTCCCATCCAGATTCATTTCTGGATCATCTTCTTTCATTTCTCAATGTTCACACATTTGGGCCGCCACATTCTTCCTCCCGGGTTTTGCATTTGGTGCCTCTCTCAATCTTCCGTAGAATCCCTCGGGGGGGGGGGGCGCCACCACACCCAACGAGGGCACAAATTGATGTTACACGCATGTTTGTGGGATACCCGCTTGATTCCAACAGCCTGTGGATCCTGTCAGTCAATGTATGAATGAACAAGGCCCAATTCTGGGAGTTGAAGTCCACAAGTTTTAAACGTTGCCCCGATTGGACCCCTCTGGACATGCTGGCTGGGGGATTCTGGGAGTCGAAGTCCACAAGTCTTAAAGGGGCCAACTTTGAAGACCCCTGTTGTGGAAAGCCAGCGAAGGAGTTGAGGGGGCTTCCCTTGGAAGGGATCTCCAACATTTGAGGTTGTCATGGGTGGGGGGAGCCTCCAGAGGGCTGAGATCTTCTTGAGACCCCCCCCCCTTTCCCACAATCCCTCTCTTCTCACCCCCACAGGTGGAGCTCTCCGATGGGACCTCCCACATCATCACTGACGCCTACGCAGGGAAAGAGTACATCATCCAGGTGGCCGCCAAGGACAACGAGATCGGCACCTGGAGCGACTGGAGCGTGGCCGTCCATGCCACACCCTGGACTGAGGAGCCGAAGCATCTCACCACCGAAGCCCAGGGAGCAGGTGAAGGGCCGGAGAAGCAGCTTACAATCTTTGGCTGGGTGGTGCGAAGGGCTGGCGGGGGGGGGCAGGGAGACTCCCTCGTGAGTCATGACGCACAAGGCGGTGTCAGGCTACACAAGTGGAACCTCCATATTCAGAGGCAGCCTATCGCAACCCCACACTCGTGAGGCCACACTTGGAATCTGCAATACAGAAAGAACATCTTGAGACTCTGGAAAAAGTGCAGAGAAGTACAGTTAAGACGGTTAGGGGGCCCGGAGGCGAAAACATGCGATGAGCAGTTGCAAGGATTGTTCCTGGCTTCTCTAGGGAAGAGAAGGACTTGGGGGGACACGTGATAGCAGCCTTCCAGTATTTGAGAGGCTGCCACAAAGAAGTGGGGATCAACCACTCCAAAGCACCAGAAGGCAGCACAGCTAACACTGCCCAGGATGGCTTTCGATACCATCGACTGTGGTATCCTACTGCAACGACTCGGGGGGGTTGGGAGTGGGGGGCACTGTTTTACGGTGGTTCTCCTCCTACCTGTCAGATCGGTCGCAGTTTGTCTTGACTGTAAGGCAGGGATCGACCCCGAGGCACGTCACTTGTGGGGTGCCCCAGGGGTTGGTTCTCTCACCCCTCCTGTTCAACATATATATGAAACCA